GAGAGGAAGAGAGGGACGAGAGGGGAAAGGGAGAGAGGAAGAAAGGGAGAGAACCTGAGGAAGAGAGGGAGAAAGTGAGAGAGCACTAGCAAGAGAGAGAGAAGAAGGCTAATGAGGAAAGAAGACGAGAGGAGGGGGGGGGCATCCCTCCTTATATAGACTTTCCTTCAGCTTGCCAGGGAGGCTTACCTAACAAATTATTTTTCTCTCAAAACTCAAAAATACTATGGAAGCGAATTTAGGGCTTTATCTTCAAGCTACCCATATTATCAAAAAGTTCTACCTAACCTTCTGACACCAATTCAGATCAACTCTTTTCCATTATTGCCAACCACTCTATTAATTAGTAATAAGCTGTTTGTAATAAGCTAGGTTGTATAAATAATAGAAAATAAGGAAAAAGGAGAGAAAATGGCTTCAAGGAATTTTTCGGGCAAGATGTTCTTGGGCCATGGGTTCCGGGACAGCTACAATAAGAAAGGAGCAGGTTATTTCCAGCTTCTTGAGGCCTTGAGAAGCCTTTACTATCCATACTCTAAGTGTATAATACAACAGCAGTGTATACAACACAACACGGGTGATTCTCCCTAACCTCACAGAGGGCATAGTGCCTTGCCTTCAAGTCGGCGGCCGCGAGTTAAATGTTAAACCACCTCACTGATCAACCATTCTATCCCGCCACATCATATTTCGAGTGATCATGTATGAGCATCCGTTTGTTCCTCTCAGGCTTATACACTCTGAAATGTGGAATGAGAACTGATGACCTCCACTAGATCCCGAACACAATCAATTTCTCTTACTTTGCCTTCTTTCAGTGCATGAGTTACTGCGGGTCTCCCATCACAGAAGTCCTACCTATTGGCTTAATCTATCCGTGTCATGAAAGATGGCCAGGGCAAAGACCTAACCGAATTTCAAAACATCAAGTGACAATTAACCTCAACTCGATAACAGTGAGTCCAGGAGACCAACTCCCCTCATTACGGACCATTATTGAAGAATCCACCGTCTAGAGTCTAATAGGAAAGACAGTAAGCCCTGCGCTATTGGAATTGGGAGATTCAGGGACTTAGTCTTTCCTAGAAATGCCGTAGAGCTAATCAGTCCTACCACAAGCTGGGATCGTAGCATCCTTCTATAATACGCCTAGGGGTGTGGTCCGACATCCGCAGGGCAGCAGAGGAAAAAGATAGGCGGAACAAGGATTAGATAGAAAAGGGATGTTATGGACTCCTTTAATTTGGAAAAGTAACTGTAAATTCTGAGCCTTATACAGATTCCCCGGGGAGAAAGGACTAAATAGTCTTTGAGAGGGCCGTTCTAGATCAAACCACCCTTTGTCGTTGTCCCTTCCGTAAAACATACTGTGCTTTACTTTCTTGGTGGCTCAGGCAGGGATAGTTCCTGCTGGCAGGAGGTACAAGGTCTGCTCGAGACTAATAGCTACAGCGGGATCTGGGCATTCTCCAGCAGTTGCCACAATTGTATTATTCAAAAAGGTGGACAAGGCTGGCTCCCGGGGAGGCTTGGAGGGGAAAGCAGTTAAGTTAGGACTTAATTACCTTGAAATTATGATACGACCTTTCGGTACCACTTCGCGCAGTGTTGAGCCGGTGCCCCGTTGTATCATAAGGAATCACTCGTGTATTGTGTGAATTGGGATGGCTCAAGAGAAAAAAGCTCGACCCCCCTACCACATGTACAGCTGTGGGTTTTTATGCCAAACTGAGAGGCGGAACAAAGAAAGGGAATATCAGGAAACCGAGGTTGGTAATATGAAAACCTCGGGAGCACCGTGAATGGTGAGTAGTACCGGGAAGGAAAGAAGTAATACTACAGTCGGAAACGGTGTGGTTGCGAGATGAACGGAGCAGAGACGAAGAAAAACTCAAACTGTAGCTAGCGTTAAAGAGAGTGTGGTGGGGAAAGGAGTGAGAGAAGCTGGATGAAAGAAAACCGGTCTGGCGGATAAGCACTAAACCCAACATCTTGGGTTTGGCTAATTATCATACTCTGTTGTTCTGATGCTCTTGGTGACTTACTTGAAAGTCGGGCCCAACCAACCTATGGGCTGACAGCAGATAGGAGACACTCGTGCTGGCATCGCCCTTCTGTTGTACACCTGCTCATATGTAGGTGTGTGTAAGAACGGTCTTGGGCGCTGCGAAGGAATAAAGATCCCCCAAACTCCTTCCATCCTTGAAACAAAAAAGCCAACATTGCTCGTTGTAAGCTTTACCGCTTCGGCTGTCCCTTCTAGTACGAGGGGGCTTTGGGTTTAGGGAGCAGTGGCCAGTAGCGACAAATCTGAACTTAAGGATGTGATGTATCCGCCTCTGATACACTCCGTGGGACTCGCTGGAATAGCCAACGCCTGTCACACTTATTGGCGGTCTTCAATTCAATACTCGTACCCTTCTAGCCTCTTTCCCACGAGCACCCTAGCATACCCCTTTCTCAGCCGATCTGAGCTTCAAGTTCTTGTTACGAAAACACTAAGTATATCATGCCAATTCCGCTACATGAAAAAGGGAAAACCGGAACTGCTACAGCACAAGACATCCACAGCACCCGCTAATAACAGCCCTTTTCTCACCGCCACGCAGAGCCCGGGAGCGAGAGGGAGGAAAAGTCCACACAAATCGCACACTTTCCCTGCCGTAAGCTAACGTGCCCCGCATCTATCTATCTATCATAGCTAGGGTATTATTTAAGCTTTTAATATTGTCATATATTCATACCTAATCTATCCACTCAGCGCCGGAGAACCGTAACCAAAACGCAGCGCCCATCCACCTTGCCAGGTCACCGGTTGGCCATAAAAAGAGAAAGTTTAAAAAAAAACATGATCTAGGTGGCCCAGGGTAAAATAAAAAAAACCTTGTAAGGTGTTTACTGATATTTCCCTCCCTGAGGTATGATACTCCCAGAATTTCGGGGGGAGGGTACATACAACATGGATTCATAGCCAATATCCAAAAAAGAATGGACCGGTCACAAGTGAATGAATATTTTTTTTACCTTCTATGTATGCAGCAAGGTGCCCCGAAACGATATTTGTCCCGCATTGACAAGATAGCAAGGTCGGCGCGCGCCCTGCAATTTGAGATATCGGCAGACTGGAAAGGCAAGGACGTGTTATCCAGGCAGGCAGCAGTTCAATCGGTGATTCCTTCGTGCGTATGATACCCGTCCAAGGATGTGAGGGAACCGGGATGAAGAGTATCGTAGTCAGCCTAAAAAACCCGAAATTCCCAGAGAGCTTTCGGTATGCTAGACAAACCCCAATTGATCAAAGGGATACGAACAAGCCTCTGATATCCGGAGTCAACCACTTCTATGTCCTGGAAGGGTGTACCAGAGTATCCAATATGCTATCTCCTGCAAGTGATGGTAGTGCTGAATTTCCCTACATGACGCTAGGGATAGGCTAGACACACTAACGGATTGCCTCTACTGGTAGAATTAACCTTATAGATGGGGAATACCAGCGTGTGACTCTGAATGCGGTCAGGACATGGTATCAATGAATCATCGGACCTCCCCCCCTCATAGTGAATAATAATCACGGATTGGACAGTCCAAATATCTCACTTAGCATGATCTTAATAACTGTACAAAATTCAAGGCGGTACCAAGTGCATACTGTAGTGGCATACTGTAGTGGCATACTGTAGTGGCATACTGTAGTGGCATACTAAGTAGGGAGGAGGTAGTATGAAGGTATATTATTAGGCATTATCGCCCTAAGTAATTCAGGTGGCAGCTACTATATAAACAGGTCCGAGTCCGAGTCTAACATATGAATAAAAGAATTAATAAGGGAAAGAAAATAAGAACCAAAGTTGTGAACATGTTTGACCCTGGAAACCTACCAAGTAAATCCTAAATAATAAAATAAAAGTATGATATCATCCATAAGGGTCATGGTGTAAGCAAATAAGTTTTAAGTTTAAGAGCATTATGATATCAACTGATGATAAAACAGCAGAAAAGATGGCGTACAGTGTACGCCATCTTTTATGCATGAAATCCCAAATTTTACATCAACCTGATAAGAAATACATGAAAAATCCTCTAATAATTATCAATAAATATTAATAAAACATATGCAATATATACTCTAGCTGTAGTGATGTTCACGATCTACAATCTATTAAGAAATAATACCAAGCAGAGAAATTTAAAGAAAATATACATGAGACGAATCAGAAAACCTCGACACCAGCAATACAGACTCGAGCCTCTGGGCGCATGAGGATACACTGCCGATGACAAGCGACAAGCAACTTCCACCATGCCATCAAACCTCCCTGGACTTTTGAACGGAGAAGGAGCTCTCATGATAGGTTCACACTTGCTCGGGCGAGGGGGGGAAGGTTCGTAACCTCACCCCAATACGTTTTTGGTATCATTCATTTGCCCTTCTCCAGAATGGCCCTGAGTCGATTGGCACCAGTTTGTATTTTAACGCGATGTAGGGAGATTCTGCACCACCACCACAGGGGGATATGCCGCATCGATGGCCGAAACTATCATCTCGTCCGATCTACCTGCCCCCATCGCACCCGCTATCCAGCTTCGACTTCCTCAAGCACCTCCAAAAAGCAGGCGCTCCGGTGACAACCTTACACCCACGCTAAACAGACGATCTTATCCATTTCCGAACCCCTTCTCACTACAAGTTCTATAGCAATGGGATATAGGACTGGAGAATCGTAGTAGGAGTGCAAGGAAGTAGGTATTGCACAACGCCGTCTATTTCCGGCCTCCGCAAGTTAAATGGCAGTTGTGGGTGTAGTTTCCAATGGCGGATATCCTTCTCGTCCGTGATAGGGTAGCCAGTGGCTGACTACATACCATACTGCAATTTCTTACATATGGAAAAAGCGGAGAATAGAAAATAATAATAATAATACGGTTGGTATGGTATGATGGGGGTGCTGGGGATATTGGGGGGGCTAGAAGCGCCTTCACAAACAACGCAATACCAGCCTGGGGAGTAAAGCGCTCGGGATCTTTTGCGCGAGGGTCTACTCGACACCCCACCATCTCACGACTCCCGCAGTCGAGGGTGGTGCTGATAACCTAGTTGAGTCTCCGAAGGTTGGATATTGATATCCATCATCTTCTGCGATTCCGGTGGAAAGAAGATTGGCAGTAACAAAGGTAAACGGCTACCGTGAGCGCTTGAAAATAATTGGCGCTTGCACCCAATAACTTCCAAGACTACCTCTCTCCTTCTCTCTCTCGGATGGGCGGGCCGACACACCGAGAGGAAACTAAAGTGATAGGATTGCATCGGCCCATGCCAGTAAAGGCAAGTCTGATGGCTTGGGCCGAGGGGTAATTTCTCCGAGTTCTCACAGTATAGTGCAGGAAGTATTCTGCTTTCCGCTTGCGATATCTCGCTCGTGGTCTTCACGGAACACGGCTATTCCGCGGTCAGCCCTTCGAGGGCTAAACTCTGTCCTCGGCCAGCCTTTCGCGTATCCATGAGCGATTAGGGATCTGCTCATGGACCGCTCAAAAGACCACAGTATTATCCATTAATTGAAATATGGCCCGTTAGAAATGAACAACAAGACCCACCACACACACACACTCACGCACACACATAACCCCATCCCTAGCCAGTTTACCCCCCGGGTGATAGCTCATGACTGGCATAAGACAGAGGCTTGATTCCTCCATCCGAATTGGCTACGGAGGACGTGGTAGAGTAGCCACTCCTGGCACGGAACCATTTGGGATGTGCCCGGGACGGAATGTCATAACCCTAGATGCCGTGAGTTAGCCGGAGAAGCATACGGGAAATAAGGCAGCGCTGGTATCATACCCTTCGTTACACCGAATCATTTGAGCGCACGCAAGACCCAATCGGGGCATGGGGAGTGGTGGAGGTTTCGTATTTGTAGCCTCCTCGACTGTCTTTGGAAGTTCTTCTCTTTTTTTACCCTTCTATATTCTGTGTCCAACAGCCCGGGGGGGTAATGGTGGAGGAAATGCGGGAGTCGTAACCGACTATTAGAGGGACAAGAACGACAGATGAAGGGCCCCCTTTGAAAGGGTGGTATTTGCGGCGGTTCGCGACAAACGGTATATATATATATAACATATCGAGTCTTATTTCTAGGAAGTCAAGAATCTCCCTAGAACAACGGGAGAAAATTTGGGATGCTCTGGGGTCGCCGCCCCTCGCCATGATGTGGTAGAGAACCCCGAAAGCGATAATACAGGGCTGAGGCAGGCGATGCGAGGTCGGCTTTTTCCTCATTGCCAATTTTGAAGTTATAGTTGGCTATGCCATCCGGGGTCACAGCTCCAGCATGCGTGTGGTGGAATGTGGAGCGGATGAAGGAAGCGGGCCTATCCAGTATCTAGAGGAGTGATATTTCGTGAGGATCGATCCATGAAGTGGACGTACACCATTATAGGAAAACGATAGAGCATATATAGTTATCAGAATGATACTATTCGCGATAACAAGAAGGAAGTGCTAAGTAAATGCAGGCATGGTGAGGGGATGGGGCGAGGTATTTATGTTCCGTCTTGCTAGGAAAAAAAAAGAAAGAGAAAAACGTCAGCGTTACTGTGTAGTTGTAGAATACATCACAGGATATCGTCTGCACACATGAAGAGAGGGATGACCAGAAGCTAGTAGCACAGCGCGGGAGTAATAAACGTCACGAGTGTCTCATGGCAAACAATGCTACCACTATACTGCGGCAGCACTGTGCTGCAACCCGGTGGATACCACTGCTTCCCCCCCAACACAGGTAATGCCAAAAAAAAGGGGAAGACCCACACTCTTCAAAAATTCCAAGAACAAATATATATAAAATAAGAGAGGCATACAAAAAATCCCCGCAAAATTCCCATCCCACCCAATCCAAACGCACTGCAAACAATTCCAATCCCAGAAAAAACCTCGCCAATGTACAAGAATATCACGCGACTATACAAGACCCTTTTCTCTAGCACAAGAGATTACAAACAGGAAAAAGAAAGAAAAGAAAGAAAAGAAGAAAAGACAGGGATAAATAAGGATATAAGAAAAGGATATAAGGAGGTGAGAGAAGAGGAAAAACGACTACGTTACTCCGATGATTAGATTTAAAACCACCGATTACGCCAGCCCCGGTGCCATGAGTGAAAGGCAAACTGAAATAGAAGGAAGCAGACCGCCTGTGGAAGAAAACGCTGACCAGAAGTAGAGCAGAAAGACCCAAACCCGAAGGAAAGAAGGAAAGGAGGTATAGAATCGCCGTGGGGTGCTGCAGGTAGCAACACCAAAACAAAACCAAGCGAGAAAAGGGGGGAGGGGGCAAACAGAAGAAAAGAGAAATCAGCCCCCACTAAGACTCCACCAAAATTTCCTCCTTTCTCGCCCCCTCCATCTTCTCAATCCAATTCCCTTCCCGCTCCCTCCTTTGAGCACGTTTCCTAACCAACCTCGCCACTGCCCCCTCAATAGCCTCAATGTGTACACTGAGCGGAATCTGGGCTCCCCTAGCTTTACCCCGGGCCCCACCCACGCCCGCACTCCCTCCATCCACCAACAATGGCTCCGCCACCCTCCTCCTTAAAAGCTCTAAATCTGCCGTCATACGATCCAACTCTAACACGGTGCTCTCCACGTACCCCCTAGCTTGCTCCTCATAACTCCCAATGACGGCGAGGAGCTGTGCGTTCTCGCGAAAGTTCTTGCGCTGGGCGGCATTGCCGCCGAAGCGTGTCCACAAGGAAGAAAGCACAAGAGCTTCTTCCTTTTTGATGTCAACTACTTCGCGCACAATCTCATCGTAGATCGGTTTATGTTGCTCCGTTAGTGCCGTTAGCGAGGTGAAGATGGTTTCGCCGTCAGAGACAAGCAGGCGGAGGTTTGATTCGAGCACTTCGGCGGCTTTGTTGAAGGTTTCAGAAATGCGCGCATGTGTTTGGGGATCTGTCGGATCAGGGGTCGGGGTGGAAGTTAGGAGGGAAGTTATTGGGTTCAGGAGCTTTGTGAGAAAGGATCGGTGGTGGGATTGGTGTTGAATTGTGGTTAGTTCTCGGAGAGCGTATTGGTTTATTGAGAGGAGTCTAGATTGTATTAATGGTGATAGAGGTGTTGGGGGGAGGGTGGCATATTTACTGGTCTAGGACTCCGCCGACCTTACTTCCAAAACCCTGCAACGCTCTCACATTCCCCTTCGCGTCCTTAGCAAAGACGTCCAGGCGTTCAGCAAGTGTCTCTTTGCACTTTAATTCAGAGTATCGGACAACGGTGCTCAAGTCACTGACAGCCATCTCGCTCTGCTTCATCACCCTGGCTAAAGCGCTACCGCCAGCTGCGGAGTCAACAATCTTCTCGAAAGACGATTCTATGTTCATCAAGGTTGGGAAGTCCGCGTACGAGGCATGTCGGAATGAGGAATTGGGATTGGTCGGTGAGAATGGTCCGGGAAACTGTGAGGCGGCATTTAGATTTTGCATTAGTATTGATACAATCACCCCGAAGAAGCCGAGGAATATGAGCGTGACGAGGGGCCGCTTGAACGAGCGAAGTATCAGGTCAAGTTGGGACGCGAATTCATTAGCATACACCGAAACAATACTATCCGGTTTCCTCTGCACGGACCCGGGTTGCGAAGAGTGGTGACTTGATTCCGTCAATATAGGATCTAAAGAAGAATGAAACAAAATGTCAGCGTTCATCCAATCAAATAAAGTGAGAAAATGGAATAAAATAAATAACGCGAAAATTAAACCAATGACATCGCGGGTAAGGAAAAATAAAAATCGAAACGAGGCTAAGATACGCGATAAGAAGAACCCTTACCAATCCTCCAACCTCTTGGCTCAAATTCTCTCGCAAAGCTCGGAATCCCACTACATGAGCTACCACCGACAGAAACGTCGCTAGAAGAACTTCTATAATGCCCACCTGATGATGCGCCAACCATCTGTCCGCGCGCGCTGAATCTGCTCTCGTATACCCCACCCTGACCTCTATACGGCGATGGCGACGGTCCCGGAGGCGGCAACTCCTGTTCGTAACGCCGCGCCATCATGAATTCCTCCCCTCTCTGCACCTGCGGTTGCTGGGGGGGAGCCTGGGCGGGCGAATTCTGGTTGCCGAACGGATAATATCTGAGTAATTGCGGGGTTATTGGATACGGGAGGTCAGCATTTGGACGAAACGCGGATGTGGGCGTCGGATGAAACATTTCGCGGCGCTGATCCCGGTGCCATTGTTTGTGTCGTTCCGAAGGAGGCACCGGGTCGTAGCCGGATAGTACCTCGAATGAATTCTCTGTTCCTGCCGTCGAAGGTGCGCGGTTTGTCGATCCAAAGGAAGACGGGGGTATAGTGGAAGGAGGGGTCACGGAAGGGACAGTCGGCGCGGGGGTATACGATGGCTCAGACGGATCAGGCGAAGGCAACTGCGGGGAAGTCTCCCTCGCAGGAGATACGTGTCGTGAAGAAGGTAAACGTGGGAGGGTAAGGCCAAGATCGCGCTCGGGCGATAATCTGTCGTCCATTGTCCGTTCCGGCGAAAGTCGCGTAGGTGACGAATATCGGTTATTCGGATCCATGATCGGGGGAGGCAATGCCAAGCTACCTGTGGAGGCGTTGCTACGATTGTTGAGAGCGAGCTCGTTTGTTACTCGCATAACTAGGCCGCCCTGTTGAATATACTCCTCTATCGAGACGCCGTCAGGTTTGCTGTCGGCGATGGTTATTCCGTCACCGCCGTCATTCATTGCTGTACGATAGACAGGACTGTATCCAGGGCGCTCTGATAATGTCGCGTAAGAGCCACAGTTGTCTAGCGGGCACGGTCGATCGATGAGGTTGTTGGGATCAGAGGTGGACGGCGATGATGCTGGAGGGGTGTGGAGGTGTACGGAAGTAGAGGTGGTTGCGGTCGTGGTGGTTGTACTCGGAAGGGTGGGAGGGGGGCTGGGCTGGGTTTCTCGAGAAATGGGATGTAGGGGGGGGGGAGGAACCTCGAGCCGGAAGGGAAGGGTGAGGGTTAAACAGGGTCGGGTGCTTCCCAGAAGCTCCAATACCCCGCAGCTTTCACAGCCCACTCACCTCCAATTGGTTCAATCTGATCGAAACAAGCTAATATGATAGATCACATTTCCTCATCCAGCCAATCAACTCCCCAACGGGAGCACTCATCCCCAAGCTGCTACCTTGCCTCCGGGTGTTAAGCCTATGATAAAAGTGAAAAACGGCCCCCATAAATCCAGATCAGAGCTGATAAGCATCACTTATTGAAACGTCGAAGATTCCACCACGATGCGACCATAGCTCCCTCAGCCCAGATGGAGCATTTTCTCGGAATGTTGAATTCTTCTCGATAATTTGGAGAAAAGAAAAAAAACAGTGCCAGTATCATAGGACTTTAACCAGACTCCGAGTGGAGTAAGTAAGCAAGGGTAGGGTTATCACATTGCTATATTTGAACCAAATATCCGCAATGGGTAGGTATAATGCATCACCTGTCCCATGCAATATGCTCTTCATGGTGGGGGGCTACAACTTCCCTCTTCATCCACATCCATCTGCCATCCATCCTCATCCCACGAAAACCCTCATCCATCCCCCTCCGCCCGAGTAAGACATTTCTAGGGTTAGGTTTACACTATCGGCATGAGTGGTTTGCAATCCAAACCACTTCGGCTGGGCTCAAAAAAGGCAAGATGGACTACCGTAGTCACTCGAAGACAAAAGTTTGTAGTGCTGCCTCTTCGATCCCCCGGAAATACACCTGTGCCAGTACAGTACAGCGTCCGGTCACCGAACTTGCTCGTCCTTAGCTTAATCGGGCGAGAAAGCCACCCCCCGATCCAAATATACTCGTTCATTCTCACGAGATGATGAAAGATGATATGAGAATCTACGCTGTATTCAACCAAACCTTCCGAGACCAAGATTAAAGTTACACAATCTAGCGCCGGCTACCCAGGTATGATATTCACCCATCATTTTCTCCCGCCTGAGACGACAGACCAGGGGGCACATTTTCTCACTCGACATGATCAATCGAATTCACCCCCACTACTACCCCCACCTGCTTTTCACCAGTTAACACTCAGAAACCCCCACCCAGAGGGCCTCCCCGACCCCATGACCACTTACTGGACCCCCCGTTATATCCATCGCGGCCTCGATTTCATGCACTCTCTTGACACCTTTAAAGGTCTTCCTTCCCCGGACGAACCAGTATACGACCGCGTAACTGGAGATAATTGCTATCACAACCGATACATAGTCTGCAAAAAATGGAAGTCAGCCCCATCTTGTGCAAGGGCGGCATAGGGAGGAATAAGACATACTCATGTTGCTTCTCGTAACGGGCATCACATACGGGAAACTATAGAAGACCAGCGTGAAGAGTGACCAGACAACCAAGACTCCATTGGCAAACCACCCCCACCTACCCATGTAGAATGGCCCAGGGATCGGTATCCGACGGCCTCCAATGAGAAGAAGAGACACCGGGATCATATAAGATATGTACTGCATGAGAATACCGCCGGTGAGGAGAGAGAAGAAGGCTGTGGTGGAGACCCAGTAGAGGATGCCGAGCACAGCAATCCAGAAGCACGAGAAGAGATGAGACCAGAGGGGAACGGAAAAAGGTGCGCCAGCGACAACGGCAAGATAAGAGGAGAAGGGAAATCCCCTGTCCCTAGAAAAACTCCACAGCTATATCCTATCATCAGCCCAAACCCTGGAGAAATCAAGAATAACCAACCAAACGGCTCTGCCATGTATGAATGCTCATTAAGCATCCAATAGCAGTGAGAACGACGAGCACTTCCAGAAACACTGCTCCTGGGATGTTTCCCCTAAGCGCTTGCCGGAACAATTCCAGGATCGGTACCATAGTTGGAGTAGCAATCACGCTAAGAATGTCCTGCATAGAGAAGAAGATAGCTATGCTGTAAACCCAGGACGTAATAAAGCCGATTGCCACGGTGCCCATAATGGCCCTAGGAATGTTCTTTTCCGGATGCGGTATCTCTTCTGCCATATGGACGCATGAATCCAGGCACGAGAATCCCCAATTGACTCCAAGAAGACCGAGAATCCAAGCGACTACATCATTGTCCCAGCCAGAACTATTGGTATAAGATCTGAAAACAGACCTGTCGCACGACCACATCAGTATCATCATACGTACATATCGTCTAAAGAAGCAAATGAGGCAGTTGATGCATACTCCGCAGAAGCCTTTTTCGGAGAGGCGATCAAAACCGCAAGAGTGATTGCCAGGAAACTTATCAGCGAGATGTAAAGGCTGGCCTTATTCAGTCCCGGGAGGAAGCGGTTGGAGCAGTTTAGAAAGAAGACTAGAATGTTGGCAATCTGATAACCGACAAACCCCATCCATTGCTTGTAGACGACCTGGATCATAGTCAGCACCTTAAATCCAATTTTCTGTACGGGGTTAAAACAGCGTCACACACCTCAGGCCTGCAAAGAATAATAATCCCCACGACTCCCTGGCCGATAACAAGAGCTACAGAAGCTCCAGTGATCATGGCACCAGCCCATGCAGCAACCCCAGTGAGATAGGACTAATCCCCGAAAAGAAAGTTATTAAAACTCCACCATTGCGGTCGTCACCAGTTCCCGCCTTGGCTGCGAGGCCCTTGTCATGAGCGCCACGGTGCCACAGCGGCGAAAGCTAAAGCGTGCAAAAAGGCGGGAAAACAAACGTACTAAGAAAGCTCTGCATCCCTTGGGAGCAAGCCTGATTACCCAATAGTACTGACCACCTGAACAATCAGCAAAACTATTCACGTTCGAGGAATGCGCAGGACGCTGGAACCTACCAGCGTTCGGATAAGCACTGGCCAACTCTCCCAGACTAGCTCCGATACAAACATGAACCAATGCAACGAGAATTGCCCCGTACATGTAAATCGAGGCACCCCCATTACCAATCCCAGTAGCGAGCGCACCAGTAACGGCAAACCAACTATTCGAAATCTAGAATTTTTGTTTCCGGATCAACCCCTCGCTTCCAGCTGTATGATAATAACGGCAATGGTGGTAAAATTAAGGGGAGTGCATACACTGAATCCAACAGCCAAGCAGGAAAGGAGAGTGAACTTCCTTTGAAGCTCAGGTTTGTAGCCCAATCCAGAGAGGCGAGCATCGTCGAAGTCGCCCACGTTAGCGCCTTGGCCCACGACCCTAGCGACAGTTTCCTTTGGGAAGGGGGCGGTTTTCTCTGCATCGGAAGCCATTCTCGACGTATTGAATCGAATCCGGCGGATTATATGAGCAGCTCCGAAAAACTTGTGATGGACCAATGTCAAGACGAAGGGAGAGGAAATAGGTCCAGTTAAAGGAGCGAATAAGAGTACCGGTAACACGCCAAGACCAGTTCTGTTTTTTATCTTTTTTTCTTTTTGGAGGGGGAGGAAGGCAAGTTAGTGGCACTGCGGATGCGGGAGATGGGCGAGGAGCGAGGGGGAGGGAAGGGGGAAGAGGATGCAACCTCAATACTGTAAACGACGCCAGATGGGTGCGAGCAGAAGCACGAGTACTAGTACAGTAGGCCGAGCGGGTATCCCGAAGGGTCGGTTCATTGAATTGTTTCCCAGCATTCACGTGTGGCGGTAGTTAGCGAGCCGGTAAGGATCATATTGATCTGTTGAAGCAAGCATAGTACGGTAAGCAAGCATAGTATGGTAAGCAAGCACAGTACGGTGATCGCGGCCACCTCCCATTCACTGACCATGCTGCCCATGTTTGGAAGGATGGTTTGTTTCCATGCACCTGAGCACGCGTGTGAGGTGAGCGTGCTCACATCTATCATAGTGAATGGCCATTCGAGTGTCTTACCCTTCTGTCGGTGCTCCTTCTGAGGTATCACAACAGACCGCAATGACGGGTTGGGATCCAATACCGGTGTCAACCTTCATGTCCCGCTGCGGTTAGACACTCACGTGAAGAGACAGACACTCACGTGAAGAGAGGTGAGATGCCTCGAAATAATACCGGCACGCAGATTGGGGAGGGATAACAAGCTTGCTATTACTTGTAATATCCACAGAAGTAACTTACCGGTGCGCGGCGCCTCCACTGTGCTTCGGATTATGTCACCTGAAGCGCATACAAGACCGGTGGATCGTTTCGCTCCCCCACAGATTACCGTAAGCACTTGTTGTAAGGTTTGACATTCATTGGCCCCATAGTACTACCGTACCTACTACCCCTTCTCCCGCCTAGAGGCATGTGAACGCCTGACCGCTGCCATATCGCATGATTCTACCTTACTGATATCGGAACGGGATGCGGGATCCCCCCGAGATTACTTGCAGTATCGTATGATGCTGTACTCGTATCTTGACGTTCTCGGGCGGAGGGAGAATGTGGATGGCCGTGAGTTCTCACCGAGTTGCTCTGGGTCGAGTGTGAAAGGCAAAATGTGACCGAACGAGTGAGATCTAGTGAATATCAGGGGAGGGTGGTTCCATACGGTAGTCCCTACACCGGTCCTCATAGAAGGCAAGAAATGCAGGGAAACGGGAATTCGCGAAATATATGGCAGAACCCTTTGTGGTACCGTGGTAATGCGTGACGGATGCCTCCTGAGGGGTTCAAGGTATTGATTGACGTACTTTTAGCATTGGACCCTCAACTCCCTGCATGTGGGGGAATACAGTACGGTACCAGAAGACTCGTCATCCTGGATCTTGGGAGGAGCGGAGTGAGAACTGTGGAAGAAAAAAAAAAGAAACCCCCCTGTGTGCCGCGCTTTGGTGAGATGCCTGTTACGGTGGTCTGCTCGCCCGGGGGTCTGGATTTGTTGCATCGTGCGGTGCCTGTGATTGAAAGTCTGTGGTCGTACAACACCGGTACCCTCCGAACTGAAACGGTGGAAAATTCCATGCCTCCCTTGTCCGTGTCTAGAACACAGGTTAATAAGTAGCGTTTGTTTAATTACCACAACTTTCTCATCGAGCGCGCGTGCAAAAACTCTGACCATGGATAGCACAGTGTTAGCTATGGTATGGTCCTGCCTGTGCTCACATCGTCACTGAAAAAGACCGTACTGAGATATGGCGGGGCAGTGCTTGAACCTTAACTTGTTTCTCTCTGTCTTGGAGGCTGGTAGGGGCGGCGCAAAAATTTCCACCGTCTGAGTAGTCTAGGGGATGAGTTGAGCTCTGCGGGTGCCCGGGCATGGAGCGCGATTGATCGGACAGCGAGTGATCTTTTACGATGAGGGTCCGAAAGCGGTGCCCTGGATGCCGAAAAAACCTTTTGGATACCATGCGCTTGGCGGTAAACCCTTGCGGATACCATCCCCCGGGAAATATACCATCGAAAAAGTGAAACCTTTGCAACGAACAACAAAATATTTACACATCTCCACCCATCTTTTTATTGTTCGAAAATGCAAATAAATTAAAAAAAGAGTCCTGGGAAAAAGTAATGAAATACTCACACTCGGCTAGTATCTTTAAAAAAATTCTCCCCAACTTTTTAAGATGAACTAGGTAATACTAAAGGTGTTTAGCAATCTGCTTAGAGTTCTTGGCAAAGGAAGATAATTGTGTACAAGTACAAAGGTTTCACTTTTTTGATGGTATGTTTCCCAGTCGATGGTATAGGAAAGGTTTTTCTACCAAGAGCATGGTATCTAAAATGTTTACCCCACTCGAGACCAGCTTTCTAATGCAACCTTGAACATCTACCCAGCACCCATATTAGTAGAGTTACAGCCTGTTATGAAAGTAGTCTTTACCCTGGTGGAGTTCTGAGGGAGAGCTGACTTTGACACAAGATTCCCCTAGTGCTCTTTGGGCACAGCATCTGTAACGGAGAAGGTCTGAGGGTCGGGTAGCCCAAGGCACACAAGAACAGGACAGGCAGGATTCTGGAGATGAGGCCTAGGTGCGGGGGTACAACCGAAGCGAGTTGTATGAGGTTCGGGGCTCAGGGGTTCAGGGTCAGGGTTCAGAGGTTCAAGAGGATGCCAGATAGTAGAGGGTGTAATTCCTAGGTACAGGTGTCCAAATTATATCTAATTTTATTTATACTCGCCGCGCCAAAACATGGCTTATGGTCGAGCGATCATCCTATTGTACACCTACCATAAGGGCAGGCGGGCCTCCGGCGGACCACAAGCAGACTGGAACTGCCTCGAAAGTCACAGCCTGGGGCCGGGGTCCCCACAATACACCGGCGCGCTCCCCCAAATAACAACTACCATACAAAGCGCCAAAGCCTCCAAGTCCTAACCGTCAAACACTCCCGCGAACGAGCGAACACGAAAGCTAAGTACAAGACCCATTATCGACTCCTGCCTCCCCCGCCCCAACCGACAAACCGACCACCAACCCAGCAGGAACAGAGCGACCAAAGTCCTTGGTCCTACCAAGTGAGCAGAAGGTAGTTACGGCCCGCGACCATCACAAAAATAAAACAAATCAAAAATATCAAATCCGGTCTTAACACCGTCCCGTAAACCCAACAAAAAAATCCACCACAGTAGAAAATCCCCACGCCACAGAGCCAACCGCCTACCAGGGGGAAACATCGGGTGTGGCACCAACGCCAACCCACGTGACCCAGCCAGGTCCCCAGCCACCGAGGAGGAATGCCACACTTGCAATGGGTGTGACCGGCAAGCTCCAGTGTTCAGCCAGGTTCCCAACCAGGCCGGCACACACCAGCCCCTACCAGGGGAGCCGAGAGCCAATCACCCCACACCACCCCAAACACTCAGGGGGGGGAGACAAATCTCAGGGTCAAAGCTATCTCTACCCCACGTAACGGGCAAGAAGGAGACCTAAAAGACACCGTAAAGGCCCACGATCGGACTATGTTGCAGGAAACGGGTGGACGTAGGAACGATGCGAGGTAGATGAGCGACCGCGCGTGTCGAACCTAGAAGTAAAACCAAGAGCCGAAGCCCTCAGACAATCGAGGAGAAAGGATGTCAGCACCAGAAAACCCAACGCTATCCAGTCTCAAACCTGAGACCCGTAGGGATCAGAGATGCAACTCCCCTATACCAACGAAACGAAAGCAGAACCCGCGAGGAAACTAGAACATCAGGGAATGCTGCCACTAGTACGCGTTAATCGTGACGACGGTCCAACTGTGAAGAGACAACTGAAGTCATCAGAGAAGCCAGAGTATGTTCCCGTGGGAAGCGCTTAGCAAAAGAAGGCCACCAGGCCCGCGGGCGAGCAAGAAAGGGTGTCCAAAGGAGATTACCAGATTGGGTAAAGAAAGTAAAATATAAAGGGGCACACCACTTTATATACTAAGGAAATCCTCCATGATCACTAATACAAAAGAAAGTTCTTGGTGTCGCGCGCAGCTGTGATTCTTCCATCATGTTCCGCTATCTTCCATTGTGCGGCAATGCATCCCAATCACCTTATCCAACTATGTAACCAAGAAAACCCCAACTAGTGTATGCAACGAAGAACCCATGCACATTCCATCTCCATGGCTGGATGGCCATGACAGCATCTCATACATGGCGGCCTGATTCCGATTAATACCAGCTTCCTAATGGTACCTAAGACGTCTACCTAGCACCAATATTGGTAGAGTTATATCCTGTTATAAATGTAGTGTTTACCCTGGTAAAGTTGTGGTAGAGTTCTGGCACAGTGCTGACTTTGATGCCTGATTCCAAGGGTGTCCTTTAGGCATAGCATCCGATACTCAGCGGCCTGATTCTACTCAACTCCAGCTTTGCAACAGTACCTTGGACATCTACCTGGCGGTACCAGTATTAGTGGAGTTACATCCTATTATTGAAGTAGTGTTTACCCTGATAGAGTTCTGGTGGGATTCTGACATAGTGCTGACTTTGATGCCAGATTCCTTGGGTGTCCTTTGGGTACAGTACTGGTATCTGATACTTAGTGGCCTGATTTTTCTTGATGCCAACTTCCCAATGGTACCTAAGAAATTTACCTAACGCTAATATTGGTAGAGTTATGGTGCGTGCCCTTCAAAACGTACACCAGGAATTACCAAATTTTTAAATTCTGTTGCATCCACAGCCACTCCTGTAATCTCAAAAAAAAAACCCGGGCAGTAAAGATCAAAAGGTAAAGTATAGTGCCTGGGGTTTTTTTTTCCAATTATATTCTTGGTCAGTTATGCAACAGGATTTGAAAAAGTGGGTTTTTGGTGTAATTTTCACAAATGTGTTACACACAGCCACACTTCAAAATGAAGAAATATTGAACACTAGGGATTAGGAAAGTAGGGTTTCTCATTTTAAATCTAGTTTTATGCTTGAAATATATCATATACCTATATCATAATTTAAACTTTACATTTTTACTCTAATTGTAATTAAAACCTTGTAAACAATAGGATATCATATCAGAATAATATTTGCTTCTAATATTATCAATTATTATCACTACACTTCATACTTCACCTCATATCCTATTCTTCAATAATCAATATGTTATTCTTTACTTCAAAATACTTACTTTTTTTTTACTCAATACCTTTTGATAAA